GGGGGTGGTTGGGAGGGTAGTAGGATAACAACGACTTTCAAACATTACCGTGTCATAGTTTCCCTTGTTCATAATATAACTATTAGGTGTTCCAATTTCAACTGGAGAATATAAAGAAGCTCCCACAAACATATCAAGAGGTAGCAAAAGTCCACAAAAAAAATATGTACCTCTGACTCTACGTCAAATTAATTCTTCAAGTTCAACGTAAGCTGGTTATTTCATCGTCTAAACGTTAGCACTGACCTTCTGAGAAACAAGCTAGATTATTTACCCGTTCTCGGTCCAGACCTTCCCTGTCGACAGGACAAGTTATAGGTTGGTGTTGAGCATCTTGTCTGTTAAAAAGTGTTAATGATAAGAAAACAAGTTAAGTGCTTTCCTTTTCTAGTAAAGAAAAAGTCTGGTGAATTTACCACATTAAATGTGGATTCTGATCCATAAGCTTAGTGAAAGTACTACTGATAATTAATATCAGTTGAGTGGTTTTAACTAAAATAGCGCTAGTTTCCCCGTGATGTTGCATTCATCACACTGATTACTATTGGGTTGCTTACCACGGAAAGAACCAAATACTGAATGAGAGCAATTTTAGGGGCGATCAAGTTTCTAAAACTGCTAAATTAAAGCCTGTGTCCCAACCTTTTAAACACTTCTATGCAGTCCACTTTCTAAAGGCCTAACATCATTAAATGCGTCTTTTGGGAGTTCTGTTTAATATGTGGCATACCATTTGAGGTAAACAGAGGTAATTATAGCAAGTACAAGCCATATTTAATCACTTCATGTCTGATGAATTGCTAATAACTCAGTGCTATGATACAACTGAGCCAGAGGGATCATTAGTATTCAAACAGCTTCCGCTTTCGGTTACTTTATGTTTAAGTTACTGAAATATTTCACGCATAACGCGGAACTTAGTTGATCTGAAGAATTGAAACTCGACACAAGAAAAAAGCGACGGGTGAAAGCTGAAAGTCAGATAGTAATTATAAACTGATCTTGATATCCTTGATCGAGCCCATTAAATTTCCGAAAATTTGCATAAACTACAAGACTGAACATAACTATTTCGCTGACTGAGGGGTAAATGTTGCCGGATAACCAATTCATATCTTTCAATTGATTAACCTACAACTCTTTCGGTTGGTCAAAATCGGCCCAGGAAACTAAACGTATTAAGCTAAGTTAGGCCGGTGTTTGCAAAGGCAAACATGCAAAAGCGGCGCGCGCAAACTGAATTATAAGTTGTAAGAGTCCGAACAAGCGGTCGAGAAACGCAGGACTGAATCAAAAGCCACCTCTGTGTTTCCACTTACATTTCTCGGTCTCTCTATGTACTTTATCTTTATCGTGCTTATAAGATTATTTTTACACCACTAGTGAAAGCTAGGCCTAACGGAAGTCATTTAGATGGTTATATAAAGCACAATGCAATTGTGGCTAAAAGTCGCACCTTCTAAAATATTCCTCGAGGCATTCTTTACAAAACCTGTGACCACATCTCGTTAGAACTGGTTCCTTGAGCGGCAAATGACATATCAAACCGAGATTCTCATCTTCAACGGCATCCACAAAGTCCTCGTCATAACCCGAAGGTAGCCGATTTCTTGGAGCTTCCGCCATGTTTGAAATTAGCATACGAAAGAGAAAGCTTTCTGGGGTCAACCTAAACCTTGCGTAAATGATGACCTCAGCCTCATGTTTGAAGCAGTTGGGATTGTGTGACCGTCTCAGGCAATTTGTTACTCTCTGACGCATTGTCAGTGTTTTAATCTACCAAAAAAGAAAATAACTGTTCCCTTATAAAGGCTTTTGTTCTTGGGCCATCGTAGTTTAACGAGGAATAATACACAAATAGCGGTGATAAACATATTAAACTTACGCATTTTAATAACTTGACGTTTCGTATGCTACGCAACATACATTTTCAAAAGTGGAATAAAGACC